AAACTTACAGAAATCCAAAAATCGTCCTTAAAGAAGTGTAACTACTAAAATTGTATGGGAATTTTTTTTATTTGTTTGTTCTTTTTTGTTTTTTGAGTCAAGTCTTTACAAAGCCACACAGCAATGTTGCAAGTAATGTTCAAAATCCTTTTTCCTTTATCCATTCGGTTGTTAAATGGACATAGACTTGGTTTGCCTGATACTTGCTTGCTTCTTCATCTCCTATTCTCTACACCAATCCAATCCGTACTGAACATTGATTTAACTACATTAGAGGCATTTGTAACTCGTTTGGGAGATTTGTGCATTTGTCTGTTGGAACTGATGGTGCTCTTTTTTGGTAAGCTTGCCATTTTGTCCATGGCTACGAGTGCATCTACGAATTTTGTTAAATTTTCCTTTTCGAGACAAGTGTATGTAAGTGAGGAGTAGCGAACACCAATAAATTTAATTTCCCTTAAATGCATTAGTTTTTAAATATTTTTATGCTTTTTTTAATTTTTAACAAATGTGTTCATTTTTATGCTGACTTCTTAATGATTATGGGATTTGTTTTAAATAAAAAATAAATGGTCTTTTGCCAATAATATATTTCTCTCTGTTTCATAAAAATTAAATTACTTCATCACTTAAAGTAAAATTCATAACATAATTTAATTAGATTTTTAAATGATATCTTCTTGAGATGTGCTTCCCATATCTTCACAATTCTCCAATTATGAGATTTAGTAAACAAATCACATTACGTATAAAATTTAATGTTAAATTTGAAAAGCTAAGAGTTTGTAATCCGGACCACATTAGGCAGTAATTGCGAAAGTTATGTAGTTCTAATCATATAGGATATGTATAATGACAAAATATAATATATTATATATATAATGTAATATATAATAACATATATGCTATATATTTAATATATAATATATATAATGATATATATCTACAGATATATAGATATGACAATTTATCATATTCGTATTTAGACAATGGATAGCTGATATTTTTTTATAATTATAGATTAATGTTGGTGAAAATTTTAAAAAAATATTACTGAGTACCCTGAAACATCTTAAAACTTTTTTAATTGAAAGAGAAAAATATGACAGGTTTATATTATATCGAAAAAAATAATAAATATTTGCTAAGTATATCATTTTAACTTTTTATGAGATGTCTTTGAAATTAAAAAGAAAAGAAATTGAAATTTGAAATTAAAAGAAATTGGATACCTTCATAATATCACATAATTTGGCATTATGAAAATTTTACTTACATTATGGTTTTGTGGTAGTAGGAGTCAATTAAAGGAAGAAATACGAATATTCAAAAGCCGGAATGACAAACTGACCAACAATCTAAAATACTTACTTGATGTGCTTTGAGGCCATCCAAATCACTGTTTTAAATCAAAAGCTATAATCCCTCTGAGATGTTTTTAAACGAAATAAACCGCTTTTGGGTTGTTTTCATTTATGAAAAGTCTTATTTACTATGGAACGCCTTAAGACAAAGGTAAATTCTTTACTTTAACATAATAATTTTTTAATTCAAGCCTATATGTATTACAACCTTTCTGTCTTTTGTAGTACTAAACACCATCAACAACAATCTAGTTGTTTATAAAACTTCCTGCGACCGCTGCCACAACTTCTCTTTTAAATGTGTCAATGAACTAACTGATATTAATAAATATCACTTTTAAATTATATAAGACCCACTTCTTGAGCTACAGATGCAAGCTGAGAAATATATTGTTTGAAGCTCATGGACTTATCGTATTTGATAATAAAATTTTCTTAGAATTGAATAGAATTCAAAATAAATAAGATCAAATTATTTACTTAATATATGCCCACCTGAAATATTTTTTCAAAATTATACAGTCTTAACTTCAATTAAAGGTTAATTGTAGTTAATTATTAACCTTTATTAATTTTTTTATTAAAAGTTAATAAAGCTATTTTTCTATTAACCATGCTTATTTTTGACTTTAAAAGTCTACGAAAAGTTCAATTATTCAACATATGCAATAGATTATAATCGATATTTATTAAAATTTAATTTAATTTTAGTTTCTATAAATTGTTTAATAATAATTAATTGAAATATCAAAACCTTCATTTTAAATATATTCAATGTGTTATCATTCATTAGCATTCCGGTTAGAAATTAAAAATTTTATTTGTCATATAAAAATATTTCTAATGTTTTAAACTTTCTTTCTAAGACTATTTTGATAAAAAAAAAACATTTTTAATATAAATTTAATTCATTTTAATATAGTTTTATACTACAAGTCTAAGTATAAATTTAATAATTTATCCAATCAGCTTTAAGTACATTTTCACTCTTTGGTATTCACAAGATTTAAGATATTTTTCATAAATTTATGAATTTTTTAGG